TTTCACCGAAATGTCGAACTCTAATGAGTATTTGGGATGGACTGGGAGGATATGCGTGTGATTGGATTTCAGCACCAGCCCAAGGTTTATGGGTTGCATGCAGTAAGTAATAATTACTGATTCTACTCTCTCCCTCAAAAGGACTCAAAAAATCAATGCAATTATAGGAATACGATTTATAGCGATCCCATGTCATTTTTCACGGAACCAGCTTTCCGTGGGGCACTTGTACAGGCCGCGTTCATACTTCGCGCTCGCGGATTGGATCGCTCAGTTGGATAGCGCGATCGAGCACTGTGTGGACGTGGTGTAGCGCACGTCAGCGACATTCGATGTACACCTGGAACGGTCAAAAAATCTCTACTGGACGTGATTGATCTGGACGTCACATTGTTTAACGATCTGCGCAGGCTGCAATCGCGCACTATATGCTGTTGTCGCCAAGTATGAACGCGGCCTCAGAATCACAGTCCGCGACAACCGGAAGCGCGGAGACACCCGCTCAGTGAGACTTTTATCCATTGTGCCTTCCAGTCTGTGCGTCCTTCCCCTAACACAGTACATAAGAGGCGTTTTTCAGAAATGGCAGTGTCAGACAACCTTTCACCCCAGATTTCTTGCTCCTGTATCCCCTCCACCTTCTCTCATCCTGACTCTCATCTGCAGAAATTTTCCCAACATCCTACCATTCTTCCCGTTTTCCAAGGAATTTCCCGTTTTTTCCCAAAAAGTGCCGTCGCACGGGTGGGACGAACTTCTCATTTCACAACGACCAATTGCGTAACCCCTGGGATCTCCCAGTGATGCTGAACCCTGGTCAGAAGTGGTTGATGGAAGTGGCGATTTATCCCTCGAGGCAGATTGCTAGCAAAATTTACCCCGCAGATAAAGTTTGATAAAACCTAATTCTGCAGGGCGATGAAGGGGGGGGGATCGTGAAGGAAAAGTGATGTGCAGAGATTGTCCATTTTAGTGTTATGCGCTCTCGGATCATCAGCTATCTATCATGCATTCTTCAACACGGCTCGATTTCTTCACGAGTACGCTGAATCAACACGAGAAGCGTTCCTTCGGAAGAAGATACGTCATAAGAAGGTATTCCTTCGCCATAGAAGGTATTTCTTCAGATTCCACACCTACCTGCCTGAAGACACGCCCTCGAGATCTGCGCGCGGCGTAGCGTCGAACCAGAACGTCGCGTTTTGCGTACGCCGCCACGCGACGTTGTGGTTCTGGGCAGCTGACGTCAAGGACTGTTGACCCTCTTCTGTTAAGCTAAAATTATAACATATTCCTAATATGTGAGATATGAAAAAACTGTAGGATAACTCGTCGACCAGCGATACAAGTTGCGGCGGATGCGATACTGTCATTGCATGGCGCGACATTTCACCTGCGCCGGGCATGGACAAGAGGATTCCTGTAAATTGCTGCGCAAGCTGGCTTCCGCCTGGACCGACGCCGCACCACGAAGACGAATTTTGACGCCTTAATCGTTTCGAACTTGAATATTAAAGGCGGTGTTATTAAAGAGTGGTTTGCCGAAGCGCGTCCGCCAAAAGCGACTGGAGTTTTTCATGGTTTTATACATTCAGCGAAATTTGCTGTAGATTCCGCGACCGTCGCACGATTGTTCCATTTCAGTTGAGTGACAATCAAAGGTCAATAAAAATGCAACGATACGAATTCGTTGCCTTCCACGCGACGGCGCGGCCAATTACGAATTTGCTTGCCCGCCTCCCAGTTTCTAGGTGATTTAACGCAAGATTTCTGGACCTGGTCAGTTGGGCTGTGTTCATACTTTGCGAATAGATTCGGCGTTTCACGAAAATCAGCCTTGTCGGCGTTTTGAGCGAAAGAGAGTGCAGGTATCGATCTGGCGTTTTGAGAGAATCGACGTTTTGGTCACCAATTCATACTTATGCGTTCGTTGCGCTCAAATCGCTGATTCTCCTTATACGCAAGACCGTCCGAATACTTTTCTTCCAGCTGATTGGCAAAGTATGAACCCAGCTTGGCCGGGGAAATAGTGCGTGTGCCGAGTGTCGCCGCCAGTCTCTCTATGAAACATCAGATTTGGATTTCAATTGTCAGATCTGAATTTCAGCTTGATTATGTGCATCGAAAACTGGGCCAGCATCGAGGAACCCCTAAAGACGACACGTATGAAGAAATGTCACATTCACCACGAGGTTCAACAACGACCGCCGCCGCCACGACCACTCCTTCCAGTGGTGCTGTACCTGAGAAGAAAGACCCGTCAACACCCACCGCCAATAAACCGACTGATGGTAGCGAAGGTTCCGAAGAGGCCGCGAAGAGGTCTAGATCTAAAGAAACCACTTCAAATGTCTCAAAGGAAACGACTTCGAATGCTTCGAAAGAAACGCTTTCGAATACCTCAAAAGGAACGATTTCGCATGAGGAGAAGTGAGTGTAACATTTGTAGCATGTGGGTCAGGACATCCGAGTATCGACATCCGGTATTCCGCGCGGCAACCTAGCGTCAGCACCGCGCCGCAGTCATCATCTGAATCTTCGCGAGTAGTACCCCTCTCCGCTTGTCCTGAGCCGTTTCACTTAAGCACTGCTTACGCTCACTGCCCATCGGACTATCATTCATGCTTCGAGATATCGATTTTACGCACGCACGATCGATATTGCGATTCTAAGTGATGCGTCGCAGGGCAAATTAGATACGTGAAGCATGCTCCGTTGTGAAAGCTGCGGCAATAGTGTACCATTGACTACGGTCCGGAATCTCTGGCCTTATAGAGTTTTATCCCGAAAATTTCAGGGCGCCAGAATAATCAGTTCCCACAGAAGAGTTATTGCTTCCAATCATATCTATTCCCGAAGGATAATTCGATATAGAAACGAAAGCATAAACGTTGATTAATTATAAGTGTTTATAAAATGAAGTTTTTTTTGAAATCCCGCAGAGTTGTCTTCTATTCGAGGTGACTGCCTAGCTGTATTGACCGCACCGCATCCGCTCGCGTCGGGTAATGGTGAGGTCTAGATGCATCATAACGCCCAATCTTCAGTGAGTCACGTGTGCTTTTGAAGAAGGTTGTGTTTAGCTTTACTAGGACATATATAGTCTATTAAGCTTGGTAGATGTTTGCCCATTGGCTGACCGCACCGCGACCGCTCGCGTAAGGTCATGGTTAGGATCTTTTTTTGACTGTTCTACAAACATTGATTCATTAAGTAATTCTCTTTGAAAATCAGTCGCTTTTTTGAATACGCTAAGCACGAGCGCTGCTTCATATATTGATGCTGTTGCTGATCATTGATTTGCTGCAACGCGACCGCCCGCGTCAACCAACGACCGCTTCGGACGAGCTCATCAAGGCATGTTCTTGATCCAGCGAGCCAGTTAGACTCTCCGCACAGTTCCGGCACCTGGTAGAAGAAAAAGCGCTCCGAGTACGCTTGGAAGTGGTTCACCTTACTGGGACATCGGAATTGGAACCGTCCGCGCCTCCAAGAGTTGGATACACTCCCCCCTAGCCGCATGAGTTACAGAAGGACTTTGACCTTTCGAATCGGAAAGCGAATCTTCTGCAAATTAAATGTGTGACGATTGAAAAGTAGTCGCGTGTTGCAACCCAGCTTGCATTAAATGACTTTGACCTTTTGCAATCGAAATTTCGAATATTCTGAGCAAATTAAATGCTGTGAGCGATGAAATTAAATGCTTTGTGTTGGCATATACCAGCTTACATTAAATGTGGTGGTGGTGCTCAATTCATGAATGCGCGCGACTGCATGGCGCATTCCGACTATGGTCCTTGTTCTCCCGCCTGCCGCACAAAACCGCCGATGGCTTTACTGAAAAAGTCCTGCTCTTTTTTCATTAGGAACGAATCTGAGTTGGCGCCCGAAATGTGGCAAGTAGCCATTTTCTCAAACAATTACTTCAAAGTATGAACCGATCTATCGCGGGCTCAATAGGTGCATCTGTACCCTCCACTCACGCACACACTCGCAGTGACTAAATCAGTCGAAGCACCTAATTGACCGAAAAGTTGGTGTCGAGCTCAGTTAGACTTTGTGGGGGCAACAGTTGAGACTGAGCGATGCCCGCACAGGTCACCTTGTGAAGACTGAATCTTTGTACCGAAGTGACTCACTTGTTTCCATAGGCTCACTTTGCAGCTTTTCAGGAGTGCATAGACCGTACCAAAACTAAACCTGCTGGTAAGCAAAAAGAATTAGCGAAAGTGCAAGATGCCCCCCTCCTAGAACTATCAGCGCGGTCAACGACCACTTTAGCAAGCGAGCAGCTGGCATCGTTACATAGACCAAGTATAGTGAATGACCTTAATGTAATGGTTCATACTTACGCCTTGGTTTAGCGTATGAGCCAAAAAATTTGGTTGCCCTCCAGTGGGAACAGTGGGAGGGTCGGGTGTTACTGAGACCAGCACTTAACCTATATACGATCCACATCTTTGTACTGTTGAAGACGTAGTCCACACTAATTGAATGAACGGACTCAGACTCACCTTTGCCCCTCTATTCCTTTTCTGTAAGGTACCTAAATGACGAATGTCCAGTGATAATGGTACATCTGACTCCGCCCATACAACAGCGTGGCGTGTACTTTTGAATAGACAAAATTTTGAGTTAGGATCTTGAGTCCGGGCGCTTTGTTATTTGTCTTATAGACACCCCAGGTGCGTGATGCTCCGGTAAAAAGTGCTCGGCTGTTTAGTCGAGGATTTGCAGAAGGAGTTCTATGAGTTGTGTAGGAAAAGTATCTTAGTATCTTGGGGAGGAGGAGGGGGACCGATCTACTATTGGCTATACAGTCATGTTCGTTACGGATGAAGGGGCGTGGTCAGGCGGTGTGTCTGGCGCAACGCCGAACCCGTCTTCCACCAGTTGTTGAAGCCGGAAAGCGGCAACAATTGTAGGAAAACGACTAATACAAACGATATGATACAGTTTTGTTGCTTGCTCGCTTCAACTGGAAAACTGGTTTGGCACCGCGCCAAACTCATCCTTCTGTCCACGCCCCTTCATCTATGTCAAAAAGACTGTACACCCTTACAAGTTGCTGTATTACGTACAATTCACTGGCCCTAATTTATAATCCTACACAGAGAGTGTGAGCCATGTTTCCATGCCGGTTTCGGCGGGATAAATTGATCTTTCGATTTGCGGGTGCACTTCGATTGTGACCTTTGATCAGCCAATAT